AGCTCAGGTCATGATCTCATGGTTCATGAGTTTGAGGCCCACATCCAGTGAACCCCGCTTCTCCCCCCTCTACCCTCACCCGCCTCTTGTGGGATTCTTTCTCTGTCCCTTGCTCACTGGCACCCTCTCGCTCTCAAAACAATAGTGTTACTGTTTCAGAATTCTTTGATCTAAATTCAGGATGAATTTCTCCTTGACCTGTTTGAACATTGACCAAATGGTGATTGATGGATGTAAGAAATACATGCGAAAAACATGTGGCGACGTCTTAGACAATCTTAAAGGAGACTGCTATCAGGTAATTATATTTTCCGGATAACATTTTTAAGTCAACTGATACGTTATTGACTTGAATTGTGCCTTCCTAAAACAGCTTTAAGTATCATTGGTTAAGAAATAAATAGATCACCTTGTAGGGAAGGAAAAATTTTCTCTCTAGAAGGTGGAGGAAGGAGAGTAAAATATCCCCCCAAACTGAGAAGGCACTTTGTGACCAGAAAACAAAGTAGGCCACTCCATACAGGTTACACAGAGTTTTATTCAGAGATACTTGCTGACAGGTGGGATGGGGCAGAGGATGACCCGTGGCAGCTGTATAGTTATTCTCTGCAAAGTCCAGACTGTAATCCATAGATTTATAGAGTGAGAGGATATGCAGGAGGGGTACTGTAGTGAGATCAGAGGGTTTGGGTGCACCTACTTGACAGCTAACCTTTAATTATATTTTATGGCACCACCTGTGCATCAGGAAGGGGGAAAGACTATGTTATCTCTAACAGATTCATAGGAAGCCAAACCTATCCTGGCCTTGATAGGCATTTCGAAGGTATGTATATTAATCTCCAAGGTGCTGGAACACATAGCTCCGTGAGAGGTCACTGAGCAAGCATGAACAAGGTGGAGGGCCAGAGGTGGACAGACTCTGTATTGTCAGCGCTCTTACCCCCTGCCCTTCTGGTTCTTGGCTGAGATTCCTATAATGAAAGACAGCTTAACAAGAGAAGGACAAGTTCATTAACATATATAGTTCGTGTATGCTTGGGAGAGACCTAGAGATAACTGAGTAATTCAGAGGTAGCTTTAGGATTTAGACTTAAGTATCATCTGAATAGGGAAGGGGGTCGTAGGTGTCTTAGAGTGACTGTTAGTAAGGATAAAGGGCCCTTGGAAGAACAGATGGGACAGGTTTGATGTTTGTGACAAAGTTTGGTGTTCCGTGATAAGGGTCAACCTTCTCTGGTTGAATCCCCCAGAGAGGGGATCTCTGACAATTGAGTTTCAGAGGCTCCATCTTTTAGGCAGATGAAGGCGGAGTTTAAAGAAAGCTTCTCTGCATTTGCGGTTTTTCAAGTGCCTACCACTCAAAATAATCAATATATGAAAGTGGCATATTTTGAGGTGACGTGTTCTGCTACTCTTCAGACCTCTTTGTGTGATTTATATGTGTATTTAAACATTTGCTTCTTGCTAAGTAAATTAGTTTCTGTCCTAAATTGTACTGTGCTTGCAAGTTAACCAGTCATTACAGTTTATCGGGTACATTTTGAATTGTATTTTGAGCATGCATGTGTTTAGTGCCCATATCTACAGTACTTGTTTAGAGCAAGATAACCAAGCAAATAAATCTTTTTAAAAGTAGGCTTCACGCCCAGTGTGGAGCCCAACATGGGGCTTGAATTCATGACCCTGAGACAAGACCTGAGCTGAGATAAAGAGTCAGACAAGGGGCTCCTGAGTGGCTCAGTCGGTTAAGCAGCTTGGGTAGTTTCCCTTCCATTCCAATTTTATCTTACCTAAAAGACTTTAAAAAAAATTTTTAACGTTTATTTATTATTGAGAGACAGAGACAGAGCATGAGCATGGGAGGGGCAGAGAGAGGGGGAGACACAGAATCCGAAGCAAGCTCCAGGCTCTGAGCTCTTAGCACAGAGCCTGACACGGGGCTCCACACTCACAAACCGTGAGATCATGACCTGAGCTGAAGTCGGACACTTAACCGGACGCTTAACCGACTAAGCCACCCAGGCGCCCCTAAAAGACTTTTTATTAAGAATGACTGCTGAGGGGTGCCTGGGTGGCTCAGTTGGTTAAGTGTCCAACTTCAGCTCAGGTCACGATCTCATGGTTCGTGGGTTCGAGCCCTGCCATTGGGCTCTGTGCTGACAGCTCAGAGCCTGGAGCC